GATATAAATCGGGTAATTTTTAATCAATTATGTAATTAAAATTATAATTACTTCTTTCATTAAAAATAATCCGTTTTATGTCATATTTAGTGTCATTTTAATTGCAAAAATGTAATTAATCCATTACAATTTTTTTCAGATATATAAAATGCGAAATACAGAGATTTTTTTTTCTATAATAAGATGACATATACACGTCAAAGATTACAGATAAAGAGACCCTGGCGAGCGAGAGTCAAATAAATTTTTGAAAAGGAAAGTCGTGCTAAAGTAAAGTTCCTTAGAGAAGTTATAACTAACTCACCATTAAAAAACTTAATCGTTAAACAAAATTGTTTTAATAATCAAAAAGAGCTATCATATATTATTTGTATGAGATAGCATTTTCTCTTTGATATAAGAATTTGATATGTAAGAAAATGTCTTGAAAAATAATAAAATCAGATTTAAAATAAAATTTAACTATGCTATATTTAACACATTATCAATCAAGAGAGATATAAAGAAAAATATCAAGCCGATATTATTAAACAAACAAGAAATTTCATGGCAATTTTACTTAAGTATTTGTACATATATTGTTTATCATTAAAAATATCGAAAGTAGCCGCTTTTTGGCTCAGGTGTTTGCTTAATTCTTTTCGTATGTTATATTTTATCAAGGATAATCCAATATCTGAGAACAACGATCATCACATTTTACAAAACTGCAAATCTGACCGGAGTCATCCTGATAGTGTGAGTGTGAGAAACAAAGTTGACGAAATTTCATTTGCAAATATATCTGTGATCCCAGAATCTGTTGGTAAAGAAATGCATAAACTGTTAGCAAAAAAGTCTACGATAAAAAAATTGTAAATTTAATTTACATTTAAGAGAAAATAAAAATAAATTATTAAAAAAATATCTTTCAACACCGAGAAGAATATAAATTTTATTTTACCGCAAAAAAAGAAAGAAAAATCCACATATTGTATGTAAAATTAATTAAAATTTAATATAAAGCAATTAATTATTTAATTTTGTTAGTTTATTTTTTTAGATAATCGTAAATATTATACTTCTGATTTCTTAATCAATAAAAAATTTACAGAAAACGTTTAATGCTTTATTGTTTGTTTTTGCTCTGAATTAACAATTACTTCTCTGTAGGTCTACTACTTCTTCTACTACTCCTTATAGGTCTTAAAACACGCAAACTTTTTTATATAAGATTTTAGTATCTTGAAAGTCAACATTTGCTGTGTTAATTTCCATATTTTGTAATTTACCTGTATTTTTTTTTGGCTTTTATTTTTACTTTAGATTGTTTTTTCTGAATTACTGAGATTATCAAGTTAATGTTCTTGTATATAATTATATCAATATGTGCAATCTTAAAATTTCTAGAAAGCATTTTGGGCAAACCAACATCTCCCAAAACATTTGTAGAATTCCATAATGAATTCCTAAATGAAGAAGACAACATTTATGTTATGTGACATTCAGGTAAAAGATTTAATTTCTCAGTCTGTATTCTTTTAAATTTGATGACACATACATATAAAAACGTTGATTCTGTTATAATTTTACTAAATACAAAAAGGCCATAATATTATTTTTTTTACAGATGGAACCAACCTGAATTTACAGACGAAGTAATACAAGGATACACAGTGCGATATTGCTTCATCGAGAACCAAAAAGAGATTCAAATCTGTGACGACAAAAATATCTCAGCTACAATATTGGAGTGCACGGTACACAATCTAAAACCTAACGCGACGTACCACTTTCAAGTACGAGCGCATACTAAAGTTGGTGCTGGCCTTTACACAGATTTAATTGATGTATTGACTACGCACGAAAATCCAATACCGCTATTATTGATGCGACATAGTTATGGTATTGATATATTGGATCTTGATTCAAAAGTCAATATTAGACTTGTTGATGACATTTCAATGATAGATGCCACTTATTCGATAGCGGAACATAAAATTTATTGGAGCACTGATCTGAGGGACCTAATGGTATTGGAGATGAATAAAAACAATATTACAAAAATAGCTGATTTTCAATGTAATGCATACAGTCTTTACATCGACTGGGTAGCAAGAAATCTGTACTGGATGGAAATAGACATAATTTATACTAATAATATCATAAAACTCGACTTAACAATGTGGGAAAATGGCATACTCAAATACGATAAGATTTTGCAAACAGAATTTTTTTTTGGTAATGTCGGTTTAACTATACTTCCATCTATAGGGTATGTTAACTTTCATTCATTTGAAATAAATGAACAATATTTTCATTAAAGATTTGTACTGATTTGTAATTTTTCAATAATTTCATATGGCTTTGTAATTAAGATCAAAAGTTATAAAAACATAATAAATTAACACAACTTTAATTATAAAAATTTTAAATATTCACTATATATATAATTTTTTTTCTGCTATTGTTAAAATATTGTTCAATAATAAGTAAAAAAATGCATCTTTTTGTTAGAAGTTTATATTGGATAAATCATACGAATTATAAACCTGTCGTAACCCGACCAATCTCTAAATATATTAAAAGATAAAACAAGTAAAGTAGAACAGAAAAGATTGAGAAAGAGCTGATTAAAGCAAAGCATTAGAATCAGGGAAAGAGCCCAAGGAAAAGTAATTAAGAA